CACCCCTCATGGAATAGGAAAACGAGCTCCAGGAGGGCAGCTGCTCTGTGCTCCTCTGTGCTCTCACAGCAGCACTGCAAGGGCTGTGTGAATTATGATCTGAATGTGTTCCAGGGAAGGAGGAAGGGTGCTGGGAGGTCTGCAAGGATGCTGCTCCTCCCATCCGGCAGCCCCTGGCAGTAACACTGCAGCTCAGGGCAGCAGGGCCTTCCAGGGATGCCACAGCCTCGCTAGGCTGCTGTGTGCGAGGATACCCCTTCTGCTTCTCACCACAGCAAATCCTCTCTTCAAACCCTCCCGGTGCTTTGGGATTTTCAGACAGAGGTGGATGGAGACTCAGCCTCACTACTCACAAAAGCCAGTGAGAACCTTTGCCTGGTCAGAAAAACAGTGGCCAAACTTTTATTTCCTAAGCAAGAACGTGCAGGTTAATAACATCCTCACTGGAGAAACATCCATTAGCAGGGGACCCCACACAAGGCCAGGACAAAGAACAGCTTGAGCATATCAGGCCCTGCTGCTGGGGGACCCCACCAGCCCAACATGAGCACCAGCCTTGCCCAGCCGTGCTGAGGACAGTGGGAGAGGACATCAGGAGCTGTATGGCCACCTGCTGCTGCCCCACACAGCCCATACCTGGCCCTCAGAAGCCACACTGGGGTCAGAGGGCTTTTCCCACAATCAGGGAGCACACAGCCAGGGCAGAGGCTTACTGGAGGACCAAGGAGGGCATAACACGGGGCTGCACCCAGGGGGTCTCCCTGCAGACAGCACCGTCCAACAGCCTGCAGGCTGTGGCACACCGGGGCACGGTGAAAGAAAGGAATTTCTGTATAAATCCCATTTACCAGTGGGTTTCTCACTTCCCCTCCAGCAGACAATCCCAGCCCTCAAAGCACTGCTGCATGAAGAGACTGTTTAATATATTTTTGGAAGAGGGAAAAAAAAAACTCTCTCAAAAGAGCCTCTTTCAGCTAATAATGAAGTGAATATTATATTAAGAATGAAAACATATTCAGGGTAACTTACAGAGGGAGACAGAAAACCTTTTCATAACACCCTGGCCACAAACACAACTGCCAATTAAACCAGCTTCGTTCCCCAGCCCGTGCCAACACAAACTCAGGGCAGGGAGCTGGGTGCCCGCATGGCCCTGGCCAGGCAGCCCGTGCTGCTGAGTGGTTTCCAGGCCTGGCTGCCGAAATGAAAAGGGCTCAAAGCTCTGTGCAGCTCAGCCTGGGGCTGCCCCTCACTATGGGGCTCGTGGCTGGGCAGGGAACGGGCTGCAGTGATGGGCCACAGGGTGTTCAGTACATGGGATTGTGTCTGCTGCTCCTTGGGAGCGTGCCATGCTGTGGGGCTGCTGCAGTGAATTGGGGTAGGGAGGTGCTGAGCAGAGGTCTTGAGCCTGGGGCTGGCCACCAAGTCATGGCAGAAACACTGGGACAGGTGATGGCCATACCTCAGCACTCCCTGTGTTCCCCCCCCCAGTGCCCACCAGTGATGGGGAGATGAGCCTGCAGGGCTGAGCTTGGCATCCCCATCACCACCAATGCCTGTAGGTTCCCATGTGCCCTCAACCCTCATCTTCAGTTCTGCCATCCCATGCATCATAGAACTGTTATGGTTAGAAAAGACCTCTAAGATCATGTAGTCCAACCACCCACCTACCTCCAGTACTGCCCACATCCCTCAGTGCCCCAGACCCATGGCTCTGAACACCTCCAGGGATGGTGACCCCACCACTCTGTAGGCAGTTGTGCCACTGCAGCATTGCTTTTTGGAGAAGTTTTTCCTAACATCCACCCTTAACCTCCCTTGGTGCAACGTGAGGCCATCACCTCTCATCCTATCACTGGGAGCAGAGGCCCATCCCCACAGTTCCTTTCAGGCAGTTGTAGGGAGCAGTGAAGCCCTGAGCCTCTGCTCCACACTGACCCATCCCAGCTCCATCACACGTGTGCTCCATTCCTTCTCTGGACACACTCCAGGTTCTCCACGTCTTTCTTGCAGTGAGGGCCCAGCACTGAACACAGCACTGAGATGCAGCCTCACCAGGGCCGGCACAGAGGGACGGTTAGCTCCTGGCAGGGCTGCGTGCACAGCCCACATGTAACACCGTGGGGCCATCAACACCACCAACACAGTCTAGGGTTAAAGTACTAGAGTACTAGCTGCCATCACTGCAGGCAGCAGCAGGGGCACGGTGCCCACACAGCAGCATGGGAGATGCACGGCACACACAGCAGCACTGCACGGGAGGAAACGAGTGGGAAGAGCCGCACGCAGCCCACACACGGGAGGAGCAGGGGCTGTTATGTGCAGCTCACATCAGTTTGACCCTCATCCCGCAGCCCAAGAAACCGAAGAGACAGGGAGACGTGAGGGCACCCAGCATCTTGGGCTCAGATTAAACCTGAGCACACCCAGGCTGGGAAAACATCATACAATATCAGATAATATTTTAATTGCTCGGCAAAGTTCAGAAGCTGCAAGTTGACATTAGATAAACCCAAACTGGAAATACAAGACCACTTCTGAGCTGTAAGAGGTAACCTACCTTTGGAACAGTTCCTCCACCAAACACCCTGAAGATATTTGTCAAACTATTTAAAGAAAGGGGGGGGAGGGGAGGGAGAAAGTGGCTTTTGGACCAAAAATAAATATTTCAGTAGCAAATTTCTCAAAGGCCCACATTTTCCCATTAACAATCAGAAACTGTGTTTCTTTGTAGAAACTTTTCTGTTTTGCTCACAGACTTATATTTCTGTTCTAATGCCAAGTAAAGATTGTAACACATTTTTGATCTTGCCCAGAGATGGAAAGTTTTATTCTTTTTCTTAAAGAGGAATAGAAGCAAAATAATAATAATAAAAAATATCAGCAAAGTCATTTTTCACATCCACCTTATATAGAAAAATTGCAGAATTCCCTTCAACAAACTCTAGCTGACAACTCAAAATCCTTAATACATCAGTAAACCACTCTTCAACCTACAGACAGCCTGCAGGTCAGATGTTATGGGGCTGGGAGGTGGTGTGGGATCTGCAATCCCCATTGCTGCAGCACTGCAGCGTGCTCAGCTGGCAGCCAATAGGAGCAGAGACTTGCAGAAATCCCTTTGGAGACAAAGTGAGCAACCCCATCCAGGTCTACTTATGCCTTTAATTGTTTATGCCTTGGATGGTGCCTTTTGTGATGGGTTTTGTCCATACAAGTTTGGGGAGCAGGGTGTTGTGCCTTCATCAGATTTCCCACTTACGCAGCTGTGCCAAGTTTCCATTTGCAAATCCACTCCAAGTGGATGCCATGCTCCCTCAACCCAGCAGCCAAAAGCCAGCCGACAAGTGCCAAGATGTCTCATATCAGGAGGCTGAGGGAACTCCAAGAGGCACAGCACCTTGAGCTGGAGAACTCTGCCACACATCTGCCTTCAGGTCTCCCATCTTATCCTACCTGTAATGAAGCACAATCCTCTGCTTCACATTGGAAAATGGCATCAGCTTCCAGCGCAAGGAAGTCAGTGGAGCAATCTGTACAGAAAAAGACTACTATCCATGAGAGAAAGCCCATCAAAAACAAACCCCGGAATTGCTTTGCTGTGGTGCAGTATTACGAGGGAGGCATTGCCATCTAGTGTCAGCCCAGCAAAGAGGAATCAGCAAGGCAGCAAGGCACTAGTGCTGGGAACCAAAAGGGGACTGGACATTGCAATGCAAGGACAGCAGAAAGGGCAGCCTGTGCCATCTGAGGGCAGAGCAGCTGGGAAGCCCTGGCCACATGGCTACAGAAATCCAAAGACAGGAAAGCAGCCACACTTATCCAGTGAGAGCCCAGGCCTGGCACCTTTCAGGGATTTGAGTTGGGCAGCAGCTCAGTTAGAGCCTTCCACGCAACACTTGCTTTTTCAGTTGTGTATTATCACTGCACATAAAAACTCCTGAAACAAGATAAAGCCCTGCACTCTATAATTTAGATAATTAGTATTATAGAACTCCTTCCGCCCCCCCCCCCCCCCCCTTCCTATTAATACTCTTGGAAGCTTTTGGAAAAAGCTGGTCTGACAAAAAGAAGTATTAATCAGATTGTTCTTAAGGAAACATGAAGAAACCCAAAGCCCACATTCCCCTTTGATCTGCTTTCCTCCCACTGAGCAGTGCAGCAGGATCTGACCACCCCCTCTCAGAGATCAAGATGCCGTTCTCCAGGAGCACAGAGGACTACAACAAGCAGAAAGCTCCAGAAATGTGCTTGCAGGGTGCCTGCCAACTCAAGATTTCCCAACTGTTTTTTTTTTTTTTTTTTCTCTCCAGTATGTCCTACCAAGAGGGCATTTTATTTTAAGATACCATCAGAGCGTGGTGGTATTGAGTCCAAAAAGCCATAAAGATGTTGGCAGAACTGGGGAAAACAAGAACACTTCAGATGTTTCTCTCCTGGCAAGAGGCCATCTTGGAACACACACTGACCACAGGCAACTCTCCCTGCCCTGCAAGTCAACAACAAGGCACTGAATTATGCTTAGAAGACATTGTCCAAACTAGTCAAACATGGATGGGAGAAATATCATTAAAACAGTGTTCCATGTTACCAGGTTTCTCCTCTGCAGAATCCACATGGCTTCTTGGAGCTTCTACACTGCCTTGCTGCTGCCTCACCAAGAGATTTTGCATTTATCAGCTCAGCCATGCCACAAAGGCCTACGTTCAGAATGATACAGGGGGAACACAGTGCGTTCTGCTCCAAAAGGAAACCAAATTGATCAAAGCTAGTAAAGTCAGCAATATTTGAAGGGAAAAAGCTGGTATTCTTAGGTAATTTGAAATATATTATTAACACTCACTGGAATGTTCAGCCAAAACAAAGAGCACAGCATGCTGTTGCCCAAGCAGTTAGCTACATTAACAAACTGGACTCTATTTCCAAATTCCAGTTCCTTACACTGAAAGAGACATTAATCACTCTTGCACAATAAACTGGCACAAGTCCTGCCAGCACTAGTTCTCAGATTGGTTTATTTTCTCAGAACAAAAACAATATTAAACATAACCTTTTAAAGAACAATCTGTATAAGCAATACAAAACTTCATGGCATCCTACTTGTATTTTCAGATTCCCTTAAAGCAGCCCATAATCTGCAAGAGGTAGGATGTCAAGAACATTCAAGGAATGTTCATGGAAGAATAAAGGGCTTGGTTCTTCTAGAAACAGCCCTAGAATGTGCTAAATAAACCAAATTCAGGAAAACCACGTTGTATGTACACCAGAAGAACCTTCACATTATGCTTCTCCCAAAACACAGATCCAACACCAAAATCTCCATGTGCCCAAGGGTTGGTCTCCTCTTCATCCAAGGACCGTTCCTTCCTTTCATCAGCTGGAGAAGTCCTAGGATAACAAAGACTACAGTCATCATTCCCACAGGAAATACTGTACATGTTATTCCATTTTAGCAGCTCCAAACATTAACAGGTCAACTGCTGCTAGCATGTATCTACAGTGCCCCTGAAAGAGTCATCCAAGAGTTCTGTAGATTAGTATAAGTGGATCAGGCACAGTCGCATTCCCATAAAATTAATTCAATTTCCTCACTTTAGACTTGGAAGAAACTGAGTGTTAAGTGATAAGAATTCAAAAATAGCAAGCTCACTGCAAAGACCCCAGAAGGGCCCTTCAGGTTGTCTCCCTTCCCATATTACACACCACCCCACATTTTTCCAGTGCATTCTGAGAAGCCTGGTGCCTGGACATTTACTCTTTGGCTTTGAGAAGCCAGTCCTCTTTCTCCCAGATTCACCCTTCCCCTCTGAGACTTCTATTGCTTCTCCCTGCACCTTCCTCCCTTGGTCACATCATTCTTTGTGAGGCCATTACCTCCAGGAGGCCTAGCCACAACACGACAGCACATGCAATGTGCCACGGAGCACTGCTCCCAGCATTTTGCTCTCTGCTAGCACCCCTCACCCACCACTCTCATTTGTATTTGGGTCCTTACCAGCCCTGGAGTCCCAGCACACACTAAGATGGCAGAGCCTGCCCCCAGAGAAGCCTCCATCTCTCACCTGCAGCTCCCACCCCACCCGTTCAGCTCTTTGAGGTCACTAGAAGGAAAGCAATGCACAGGGTGTTTTCTCTGGATATAAGCCAGACCTACCCCTAAGCTGTGATTTTTTTCCCCTCTGCATTTCAAAGGGGAACCTCTTGGGTTCAATGCTCAGAACTCACAGAACTCACAGCCTCACAGATGTGGCTACAGTTCCACAGCACTGACCTTACTGCCAAAAGCTCACCTGCTTTGCCAGTGCCTCCTCCAACCACACTGTCCCTTTACCTCTGCCCTCTGCAGAGAGCCCCAGCACCTCCTGCTCCCTGGCCTGAGATTACATACAGAATACTGACAAGTTTCCATGATTTATCTGAGCGTAGATGGTACTGAAACACTGCTGAGAAGTCAGACTCATCCCTCCAGCATTTATAGGTTGAACAATGGAAGGGAAGGAAAAAATTAATACTAATAAAACAAAATCCTTGGAACCTTCTCCATAAGGTAACTCATTGTCTGTTTCCTACAGAAGTCCTGAGAGTCAAAAGGAAGACATACATCCCTACCACCTTTCAGTTTAAGAACATCGGCAGCCCAGTTCAACTTCTGCTACTTTCTCAGGAGCTACAGCCACTTGAGCTTGTTCAGCCAGCTCAGCTGCAGCAGTGATGTCTGCAAATTTAAATCAAGTTACTAGTAGCAAAAAAAGGAAGTCTGCTCCTGAGAGGATATCAACTTACAGAGTGCTAACCAGAAGGCTAAAAAGCAGTGATAGAGGAAAACAGACATTTACCTGCTAAAAGATGAGAAGGCAAAATACTACATGATGCTCAAAATACAGACCTCACTTGTTGGAATAGTTGGAAATAGTTGGAAAGCAACTATTTTGCTCTTGCACCACAGAATCACAGGACAGTTAGGATTGCAAGGAATTGGTCTCCAGTCCATAACATGTTCATATCAGAGTGAGCTGTGAGGTTGATTGGGTTACTCATTTTCCCCTCACGACCTTGAAGAATCCAAGTTTTATTCAGCCAGTATGCTCAGAGCCCATGGCTCACGTGACCCAGCCAGAAAAGAGTCTCAATCAGGACAATACACCCCAAATACATGTTGGGATAACAAAAGGATCATAGAATCATAGCATCACAGGTTGGAAATGACCTGCAAGATCATCTAGTCACATAGAACAGTGAAGCAACTTTTAAGACTGACAGAAATACACCAGCAGTAGATTTCTAGCCTAGCACAAAATAGGATTCACAGTACCAAGAAACAGTCACCACCACCACAGTCACCACCCTGGTTCACTCAGACTCATGAAATCCCATGTTACAGCCCCATTTTTATCACCAAACCTTCAAAAAAATCAAGGGCTTGCTGTGAGTAGCTTGTGTTACATCAGCTTTGGGCTGACAAGCTCTATCAAGCACCTACCCCAACCAGGAGAATGGGGAGAGAAAGTTTCTTCAGAAAGAGAACTACTAGAGGACCCTGCAACTGATCTTTTCTTTGAAAACTGAAGAGATAAAAATGCTTATATCATTTCTCCATTTCATAGCACAGAGTTGTAGCAACTAGGACAAGGAAAGAAAGGTTTCTCACGTGAACAAAATTCCTTAGACCTGTACTGTGGCATCCTCTGCTTTATTAGAGAAAAGCATCTTTGCTCCTGTTAGAATGCAACCGACTGCTCTGCTACTTGTCAGTCTAATACTATACCCACACAGCACTTCCTTTCATGTGTCCCTGATAGGCATACTTAGAAGATAATCACTTGATGTTTCCGCAGGCTGTTAGTTGTGGTTGGGGTGTCTAGCTGGGTCTAAAACCTACAGCTACTGAGATTTCCTCTGCACCAGGAAAAACAAAGGATAAAACTGCAAGGCTGCTGGTTTCATGGCTGCTATTTGAAGTAATAAGAGTCTTTACACGGAGCTAATTAAAAAAATATATATTCAAACTGAAACCTTAAAGCCATCTCAAGGAGTGTTTGATCAGTTCACCTCTTTCATTTGCACCTAATGGCGACACAGTCAGAAGAGGAAGGAGGGGAAGCACTCAGCCCTGGAGACACAGCGAGCTGGGCGGTGTTCAAAGCACCCACAGCTCCTGCAGGTAGAGGAGCAGCATGCTCCAAGCAGGGCTCCACTCCAACGTTTGTTTCCTTTCCTTAAAAGCAGGTTGGCAGCAACTCAGCCACACACAGCAGAAACACAGGCGCTCACTTTGAAGTTCAGACAGAAGTCTGTCGCTACCAGCTATTTTAATTCATGCTTGGGAAAGACAAGGCAGCTGAGCATCAATTTACAGCAAACAACATGCCAGGTCACAGGTCATTCATAATCACAATCGCCTTTACTCTGCATCAAAGCCATAATTAACTGTTAATGTTTAACTAAGGCTTTAAAATTTGTTTAAGCTGCTTTCTTGAATAAAGCACCGTGGCTATCTCCTTCCCAGCTGAGTCTCCAGAAGGGCTGTAGGAAAGCACTGTGTAGACACCAAGCACAGCAGGCAATATTTCTGCCAAAACATGGGGAAGCTGGGAAGAAGCTCCCACCAGTTCAGCCCCTGTGAAACCCACACTTTGAAGCAGCAGCTCCTAACTGCACTAATAACCCCCAGTGAGAAGGCACTTCTCAAGAGAAGCAATCGAGTCGTTAGCTTTGTGGAGGGCAGACAGGCCTGGAGGTTGGTCTGGCTGATCCATCCCAGAGCCAGCAGCTACCTGCAGAGAAATGCAGCCTCCAGGTGCCCCTAACACAAAGTAGAATATCTCACTTTCAGCACTTCAGCTCAAAATTTGTGGTCACTACAGGGAAGAAAGGAAAGCTTGACTTGTTAATTGGAAAGACAGTATGTCTTAACTCCAGCACTCTGAAAGAGCACATTACATGCCCACTTTTGGAGCATGGATCAGCAAAGAAGCTAAAACCTTCTTGAACAGCAATTGCCTGAGAAGTGCACTTCATTCAAGACCTGACAAGTCCAAAAGGAACTGCCACTCTGAAATGACAGCCTGGAGGAAAACGGCTGCCACCAGGAGGTGAACAAGCTCCTTCTTAAAAGCATCATGTGGAGCCCACAAGAGGTTACTGACATGCTGCAGCTCTTCTGAAGGCAAGAACAAAGTCCGGCTACAGCTTGCTTGCTATCAGCCTGCTGATAACAGGATGTGCTGGGCAACCCACCCTGATAGAATGAGAAGAAAGGGCCATCTACGACACCAGGCTATCATGGTTGGTCAGGACAATTTTTAGAGGGAATGCCACATATCACCATCACTGGTGCATTCAGCATGCCTTCAGAAAATTACCTAATTAGGACACCACTTGTCTACTGTCTGTGAAAGCAATTTTGCAGTCAGCCATACACCCATTTGTCTCACTCAGATGTAGTTTAGGGATGTTCAGCTGTTAGTGCTTCAAGTGGACTCACTTTTACAGCCAAGTGAAGCCTACTTTCAGGTAGCACATGGGCATGCAGAATCTCAGAGACACTCCAGGTTGTGAAGAGAAAGGCATAAGAAGACTCCAGCAGCTGCCAGGAACACCCTGTTACAGGTGCAAGCGACGTCAGTACTCAAGGGGGAAGGTACAAGGAGAAGATTCTCTATTCCTTGTTCATGTAATAAAGCTATACAAACCTCCAGTGTCAACTGAACATCTGTGCTTATGTATTTTTTTTTCCCTTAGGATATGTTTTTTGCTAGCTGATCCATTTTAATCCTCAGCTCTGCAAAGGATCCACCATGAGTCTCAAGCACAGCCTGTAGACAGAGAGAGAGTTCAGTGGAAGGAAGAATTAAGCAGAGATGGTTAGCAACACTTGACTTCAGAGAGCTTGAATACTGATGACCTGAACCTAAGGTGCCAGAGAGAGGATCTGTCAAGTCTGCTCAGATCTACTGTGTGCCAAGGAATCCTAAAGCAAAGAGGAGAAATGCAGGAAGAGGAGCACTTTCCTAAGCATTTCCAAAAAAAGAAAACCCCTACAAACAGCATTCAGACAGAGCAACAACACTTCCTCAGAGAGCAAGAGGTCTCATAAGAGGAGCAATTACAAGAGGGTGAAAGGAAGGGATGAACTCTTCAACACCTACTTCTGACTTAGGAAGGACTTCATTTAGCAAGTCTGGGCTGAAACTGCTCCTTACAGTAGCTCCCAGTCCTTCAAGAGCTCAAATTTTCACATCAATAATGCTCAGCATTCTGTCAAATCAACAGTTCCCTGATAAAGCAGTGTGGGTACTGGGACAGGCACGTGAAGGTCACATTTCCCTTACTGCAAATAAATCTGCAGATCTGCAGACTGACTCACAGCAGAGCCAAGGCGCTCTGTG